GACGTAAAATAAATTTTAAAATTTGACGGTAATGTCATAGCGACACAACTTAAGTTATAAAATTTGACGTTTTGTTGTTACTAGGTTTCATTTGCAGGCATGGCTGCAAGTTAAAAACTGAAGGTTCGGGTTGCTGCTCCTATGAACGACAATGCAGTCAGTTTGGCTGCACAAATCCATGCACATAATGATGTACAAATATATTTGAGGGCACAATTTGAAGAATGTGCTAGTGGTTATGACAAACGACAATCTTCGTTCATGAAAGATTCGTGGGATCATGGTAATAACACAAAGGCTTGGTTTGATGCCCTTAGGAGTGAACTTTCCTTGATGAAATTGGCTCTAGATAGTACTACTATGCAAGATACAGCGAGTGCTTCAAAAATTCGTGTCCGTGAACTGAAATAGTTTAACGGTGCCTGTAATGCCTAAGAGTTGGAAAACTTACCGTGAGATATCGAGCAGTACTTCAAAGCAGCCCATATTCCAGAAGATCAATTTCAGCCATTGATAACAATCATTCGCTTGATAAAATCATGTAGGCAATTTGGGTTTTGCATTCAGCTATACAAGGTGTATAAAGTTATTTTCTGATTTAAATGGGACCATTAACATACACGTGGGAAAAGTCCAGAAACATTAGTTTACAACCACACCTCTGTGACATTTTGTGAATAATATGGCTAAACAATAAAACCGTCAAACCTCAAAACCAAATTGAAACCACTTTTTCAAAATCGTTGGTTTGGGTCTACGTGATCCGTCGATGTTTCAATTTTGAAGTGAACCAAACAGCTTCGAAGTAGTTTGGTTGGGGTTTAAATTTTTCCCATTTCAAATTAGCAAACCGTTTACAAAAAAATAAAAATAAAAATAAATTTAATTTAAATTTATTGTAAAACTAAAAATATCCCAATTGAAAAGATACATCCACATTAGACCCAACCCAATTAGACAATTATTGATCACTATTAATTAATTAAATTATACCCAATTAATTTATCATTATCACAATTGTGAATGGAAAATCCTTAAACTAGGTGAACGACTATTGTTGAACCATATTGTCATTCAACCATCACAATTGAGTAGACAATTACATCTACAT